AACATGAGATAAAACTTCAATTAAATACTTAAACTCAAAGGCATTGGATTCTATTTGGTCTAGTTTGAAATTTCTCACTGTCTATTATTAAAAATATTAAACCACCAGAAATAATTCAAATTAAAAAAGTCAATAATTTGGTCAACTTTAAGTCAAAATCAAGTTAAAACTTCAAAAATTCATAACAAAATATAGAAAAATTCAATTTCAGCGAACTTACAGTCTAATTACTCATCTTAAGGTCTAGTATTTTAAAAAAAATATTAACTTTCTAGAAACAAATCTTAATCTAAAAGTCAAAATTTAACCCTTTTAATTAATACATTTAAATAATTTCAAAAATTCAATATTTAATTTAAAAATTCAGAAAAACATAACCCAAATTTAAATACCATCAACCAATAAATTATAATTAAAATTCATTCACCTCCAAACCTTAATAAATTCAATTCACTTAATTATACTAGTTACCATTGGGTAACTCGGACCTACAAGTTATTAATTTAGCCCCAAGAAAAGTGAAATAAATTTTACAATCCCATTGAGCAATTAAGGTGGTAGTCATCCATGTTTTAAAATATATCTTAAATAAAATTTTAAATCATCAATATTTAAAATTTAATTAAAATTTCCCTTGATTATTTTAACCAACTAGAATATAAAACAACTTTAGCCAATTACCCTATATAGGATTATTCAAGCCACACAACCTACCTTGTACATTTTAGATCATTTGCTAGGACAACCAATTCTAGTCTTATGCTAGGTCAATGTTTTACTTTCCTACTATTATGTGACAAACTTTTCGAGTTTTTACTACATACTCTTTGAAAATTGATTAATTGATGTGATTATTAATTTAAATTCTACAATCTGTGAATTAATTTGATGGGTAAAATATTACCTTTAGGCTAGGGGAAATTTAAATGCTAATATAATCTTATGCAGGAGGTCATGCTCAAGTAAGGCATCAAAATTAAAGGGGGCAAAATTAAAGTTAAACAAATCAAGTTTTTGCATGAGCTTTGCTATGTTAAGTCCCCTTTTAAATCAAAAGAACATGCTCAAGTGTGACAGGTTTGAGAACTTTTAATTTCAATATATAATTGTTTGAGATGTGATTTCAAATTATAACTTCATAAGATAACCCTATAGAATATTTGAGTCTAGAATTTTTTATTTTCAAATGCAATTTATTTTGAGTCAAGAGTTGTAATATTTAAAGTGATCTGAGATGTGATAAAAATTAAATTTGGAATCCAAAGATGAATGAATATCCCTCAGAGGAAAGTTCTTATCCATTTGAAGATCTAAATCACGATAAATTTCAAATATCCAAAGGAAAAAGATAACACCCCTTATGAGGGGGAGTTTCTTTTCATTTAGATATACGGACACGATGGATCGAAGGAGCCTGTAGAAGGACGAAGAAGTGAAGATCGAGAAGAATCTAATTCTCAAAGTCACTTGAGTCATAGGAGTAGAATCCAAGTTCTTGTCAGTGGTATTTGGCATTTTTATTTTTTCTGCATACCTTGGGATGTAATATTAATTGGCACTTGCCACATGGACTATTAAATTAATTTAATTAATTTAATTTGATTTGATTAATTTGTTTACTCTGCTTACGATTAGGACTGCCTTCTTTTCTTAGTTTTTTAGCGATTATATTTTGTATTTTGATTTAGCCTGGAACCTAATATAAGGCTCATGAGAGTACGATTCAAAAGTTTTCTACTTTAAAAAAATTAAAAATTTTAAGATAACATAGAAACATAACAGCTTTAAGAAGTCAGTCTGAGACTGACCCAGAGTTCACATGCATCATATTTTAATCTCCTTTTTCTTATTAGGCACCTCCCCACTTGCAGGTTCTAGCAGGCCACCTGACCTATTAGGGTGCAGTCCTATCAAAGAAAAGTTATGCAATCTCTAGGGAAAATTTTATTTTTAAACCTTTTTTAAAAAGTTGCTTCATATTTGATTTAAGCATTTATCGAGTCAACTTGCATGCATTGCACTAGAAATAAATTTGAATGAGTCTAAAATTTAATTTTGTTTTATTTCAAGCATCAAATTACCCAATATAAGTTAAGGGGCTACTTAGGATATTCTCTAGATGTTAGGCTTAACTCTTAAAACTTAATCAACAATTTTACCACTCTTTCACTAAAGATCTGATACATAGATTTTAAGAGACTAGGTGGTTAACATGCTCCTCAATCCAGGCTGGAGTAAGTCCAGGTTTGCACTACATTAGCTAGGTTTGGGTTACTAACTTTTCAGTACCCAATTTAGATTTAGATTTTGAGACAGTTTTAAACTATAAGACTTCAACCTTCTAGGAATATGATCCTAACATTCTAATTAAATTGATAATTCAAATTAAAAATTCTATTCAATCTAGAATTCAAGTCCAACACATAGGATTGACAAATGTATTTTTTGAATTGTTTTAGAATCTTAAACACCACATACTTCTCCTCCCTTGACCTTCAGAAATAACTATTTAATTTTGATCCAATCCCAGCTAAATTTCAAATCCTCACTCCGTTGGTATCAATCCTTGAAAATTCAAAAATGAAAATTCTACCCTTATTTTAATCAAGAGTATCCATAGGAGACTTCAATTTTCCTATGATGTAATTAACTATGAGAGCTTGCGCTCATAGAAGATAGAAACCCAAATCAAATTTTCAAAAATAATTTTTTTTTTCAAAACTTCAATTAATTATCTTTGAGAAAATTAAATTTGACGATCATTATCGTCATATTAAAATATTTGATAATAGGTGATATTTTCTTTCCCCAGAAATATATGTCATTTTATTATCATAATTTTGGTTATGAAATTAAAGATCATTTATCCAAAACATCACAGTCAAATACTAGAATGAACATCATTTTGATCCTTTGGGCTCATATACGGTTCTTTCGTGAATCTAACTACAATAACCGGGGTAGCTCAACATTTTGTAATATGATCACATTAAAAAATGATATGTTCACCTCCTGAGGTGATATATCATTCATAATGATATGTTTAATTTTAAAATTGAAATTCTAAAAAAATCATCCTTTCCCAAAGAAAATTAATCTTTTCAAAACTCAACTTTTTTAAATCAAACAATATAATAGTAGACTTTATTGGTAGTCTGAAGGTTGTATAATTTGTCTTCAAAAGCCATAAAAATTTGATTATAACTGGATGAATTATCCATAAGGAGAATATTGCATGTCATGTAGCAATATCAACCATGAGTTTTGATGTACAAAGAAAAAAAACTCATCTTTAGGATAATCTTTATTTATATCTTTGAAGTCTATGTAGACATGCATTTGATCGCTCCATTCTTTTACTGGAATAATACTGACTAATCAAGCTGGATATTTCTCTTCCCGGATCAAACTAGCCTCTATTAGTTTCTTAACTTTCGTGATTACTTGTTGTTCGATTTCAAGACGCATTCTTCGTGGTGCTTATTTAAAGGAATCATATTGGGTTGAATATCTAATTTATGAACTGCAATATCTGGAGATAATCTGAGCATTTCTTCATAATTCTAGGCAAAACAATCTTTAAATTATGAAATAAAATTAATCATTTTGCATGCCTCATCCTAATTTAATGAAGAACTTATGAAGATCAAATGAGGGTCTTCTTCAGTGCCTAAATTTATTTCTTTTAGATCATCAATCATTGATTTAATATCTTCTTCAAGTTCGAGAGGTGCATTTCTAGTTTAAGAGCCATCCAGATCATCTAAAATCTCTAAAAAAAATCCATTAAAAGATTTAACACCATTTATAAAGATACAATCAGACTCTAGATTATGATATTTAGTATTCCACATATTTTTGAATTGTTGGGCTTCACCTCTATTCCATGTTGATGGTGTCAAATCTTGTTTAGCAAATTTATTTACACAGTTAGAATGTTAATTAAAAGATAGTTCTACTATTTTATTTAAGATGGATCATCGAAATTAACATCATTTTCTACACTTTTGCTAGT